ACTCCATGGGGAAGCCTTAATGAAAGAGCATTTATTGAGCTCCTTCTGGGTGTTAGGCTCTGTTTAGGGAGGGAAGGTTTGAGAGCTTGCAGAATGCTAGGCACTGAGCGTTGGGGGTGGGGGACGAGTAATGCGCGCCTACTGTGTTTGGTACCTGTGTGAGAGAGGTGCTGAGCACCTACTATGGGCTGAGCCCTTGGGTTGGGGAATTATTGCGCACCAGCTGTGCGCCTGGCACTGAGCTAGGCGCTTTGGGCGAGCAAATGTATAAGGAACGTCTTTAAAGATTCTAGAATAGAGAGGATTGCTGCAAAGAATGGGGGTGGAGAGAATCAGGCCGAGTTCACTATAGGAGGGTCTGGGGCCGGAAGATGAAGGTCAAAGGTGAGAAAGCCAGCGACACTGGGATGCCATGGCGCACGGATGCCCCCGAGCTCCGGTCCCGGCTGAGCCTGGTGGTGCGCAGACACCCTGGGAAGCTGGCGCGGCGCCCGCAGGCGAGGCCTGAGCGTCTGCACCCGCGGGGAGAGGCGGCAGCCGGAGCGTGGGGGGTGGCAGCGCCCAGGGAGCTGCGGGGGTGCGCCGGGTGTGAGTCGGGAGCGCGGGCGACAGATGTCGCGTGGGCCGGCGCAGCCTGGGCGCTGGCGAAGAGAGGCGCGCACTTTGGGGCGCTCCCTTCGCGGCTCCCGGAGGTCCCATTCGCTACTCCCCCTCTGGGAAGAGGGGCTTCCTCGACCGACAGCGGCCAGGCTGGGGCTCTCAAATCCCAGATAAGGGAACAACATTTCGGACCCGGCGCAGGGAGCAGAAAAAGAGAGTCTAGAGGGACGCGAAGCCCAAAGCGTGGAATTGGCAAAAGGAGGAAAATAGATGAGAGAAGCGGGAAGGAATAAACGGGCGGAGACTGAGAAAGAAAAGAAGGTCGAGGAAGCCAGAGAAAAAGACGGCCCGAAGAACAAGTTGGAAGATTGTAGGAAAGTGGATTAGAAGGAAAGATGGGACGCGAGAAGAATCCAGCAGAAAGGGGAGGAGGGCTAGAACACGGCTTCCTCCGGTCTCGGGGTCCTGGCGAGGTCTGGGAAAGCAATCCCTTCCCAGGACAAGGCGGTACGGGATGCTAGGCGCCCCACGCAGGGGGCGGGGAACGCCCGGCCGGAGCCAGAGTCCCACTGTGTGTGCGCATCGGGGCTGGACGTGCTTCCGGGACCCCAAGGAGGTGACCCGAGACCTCCACGAGGGCGCGCGGGGCGGACCCAGTGCGCTCCTCTGCGTCCGGGGGCGGCGTGAGGACCCATGCGACTCGTGAGGGGGCTGGAGAGAAGTTTCGCTGGTGAGGCGTCAGCAGATAATTGTCGCCGTAGAGTTTATTTCCCCTTCCTCACTCTGCTTCTGCTCCAGAGTTACGTGCTGCGTCCTGACTTCAGGGCACCTCTATCACCCCTGCATTCTCCTCCCGCCCACGGGCCGTGTCCTGCCCGGGCGTCCCCAGCAGCCACACCCTCCAGGGTTCTCCCGCCTGGGGTGGCCTGACCT